AAAAGAAGACATTCAGCGAAGAGACTCTTTTCGGCGAATCCATTCACATAGCTGTACAATCGCATTTATATATAAATATTTGTGTGTGTGTGTACATGAGGTTTGTCAAGTTTAGATAATTAATTAGTTAATAGAAGAATGATGTAGTATAGAGACAAATTTAACCCAGCGCTCGCTTTCCAAACGTATCACCGAGCACTTACCAACATGGTTTTACAAAGGAGAAAAATCGATGCCCCCGCAGTTCCATCTTAGAACATCTGATAGTATCCGGACACCAAGCTACACCGCAAACAAACTTCAAAGTCGTCTACAGAGTAAGAAGTGGTCTCCCTAAAGGTGTACGAATCAGAATTCTTCAAACTGCAGAAGCAATGGCGATTCACTTGCTAAGTCCTGAACTCTGCATACAGAAGAAGTTCGTTCAATCACTACACTTGCAATGGACGTAATCTATCTTATTAGCCGACATGTAAATTCTACCTAATCTTTTCTTCTGTCTCTTCATTAGTATTATTTTGTCTTCTCAATTGTAACCTTTTACATTTTCAACTTTCTTGTTCTCTACCCCCACCCGATTCAATTTCTACACCTCATTACCACTGTTACTGACTTGAACAACGCTCAGTTTCTAGCCATTTATGTTACGTCATCCAACTTATTCACTCAATTTCATTTCTATTAATCTCTACCTGTAATTACCTCTGTTGCTATCCTGACCTAAATTGTAACATTTTAGCCAATTATATTACGTCATCTAGCTTTTTAACTCAATCTTACTTTTGTTGCTGTCTGATTAACTTTGTCTCTATACTACATCATTCTTGTATTAACTAATTAATTATCTAAACTAAACAAAACTCATGTACACACACAAATATTTATATATAAATGCGATTGTACAGCTATGTGAATGGATTCGCCGAAAAGAGTCTCTTCGCTGAATGTCTTCTCTTTTTCAAATACTTGATAGGTTTTCTTCAAAATAACTATTGTTATTATTATTAATATCTGCTTTGGTATCGAGTTGAACATAGGGCTTGAACAGCACAACTCCATTTCATTCTTTTCTGTGAAGTTGTTTTCAGCTGCCTAGAGGCTATATTCTCGTCCTCACATGGTCTTCACCATGTCACCCTCGGAATGACGTCCAACTCGTGGTTTCCCATACGGGTTCCACTCGAGCCAAGTGTAAATCGTCTAGAGTTTTCTTATCGGTTCAGCGTATTACTGTCTTCCCCCTCCCCACTCTCCGTCCATGGAATAATCCAGTCCGCCACAATCAGGAATATCAATAGTGACAGTAATTAGTCTGGTTTTACTCCTCTCTTCACTTCGAAGGCATCACTGTGTTTTCTCTTGTGAATCACTTGATATGTAGCGTTATCATGTTCGAGGTTGATAAAGGTTTGCACGCTTCACTCCATAGTGACCAAACAGTTTCCAAATTATTTTACAGTCTTTGCTGTCGAAAACTTTTTCAGAGTGGATGAAGTTGAGGTAGACATTTGACAGCCATGATCTACTCTATTCGGTGATCCGTATTCAAGTTCCGTCTTGCAGTTTTCCCGGACTTCTGTAGCTTGATTGCATTGAACACTTCTGCTTTAGTTGGCGGACTGGTGTTCGCTGACAGTTCTGTGGCTGTTGATAGTATTCCTGAACGGGTTGTAGGTGACGGTCGGTTCAAGAGTCATTTGAAGTGATCAGCCCATTGTGTCCTCTACTTCTCCACCTTGATCATCAGCTTCCCTTGGCTACCTTTTATTTGTTTCATCATCTGTGTTGATCTGTTCCCGGATAGCGAGCAGCCTGGTTATCTGATATAATGTCCGGAGGTCACTTTTGCCTGTAGCCTGCCTGTTCTGCTTCAGTTGTCGGCCAGTGTTTCGTAGAATTGTCTTGTGTCTCTGCTATCACTCTTGTTCACTTCTTTATTCAGTGCGTTGTATGTTGAATTCAGCTTCTCTTTCTGTTATTCTTCTTCTCTGCATTAGTTCATCTTCTGTTTCACTATCCCTCCTTCGTTAATTAGCTTCCAGGAGTCCGTAGAGAATGATTCCTTTCTTTTGCCTGTTCTTTCTACCTTAGACGTCTGTAGAGGTTTCCTTGCATATAGCATTTAGAGAGTTCTAATGTTCTTCCACACAGGTTTCCTCGGTGATGATACAAAATTTTTTTTAGCTTTGCTCTGATGGCTGAAGTGAAGGTGTCCTTTGTAGTTTTATCCTTCAATTTCTCAGTGTTGAACTTGAATTGTGGTCTGTTCCCAGTTGCTTTTCAGTCTCTCAACTTGTCCCCGAATGATGATATGAAGCCAAATCTCCTCCTCTTCTCAACTTTGTGTCTGGGAGAACGAATCTCCACTTTCTTTAGAACATTGCGATGAAGTCTGTCTGATTTTTGGTGTATCTAGTGTCTGGTGAAACCCATGTCGGTTTGCTTATGTCCTTGTTCTTGTACACCCTACTTCCAATGACTAAATCATTGAAGGTACAGAAATCGGGGACTGGTCCTGACTTCTCCTTCATTTAGCCGAGCGAAAGCCTCCCAACTCTTGATGGGTTATCTTCCCAACTTGTGTTTGCTCTTAGTTTGGTTTGGATTTAGATCGCCCATCAGAGTTTTGATGCTTTCATTTGGTGTCTTGCGGTTTACTACTCGCAGTTGTCTGTAGAAGACTTCCTTCTCCTTCACAGGACGCTCTGCGTTGTTTTGGGCGAGTAGAATCGGGTAATTGTAATTGTCCTTTCTATGGAGTAGAATCTTGGTGTCATTATCCTGGAGCAGATTGATTCCCACTGTATAAGAGCCTTGGATAATGATTTTGGTGACATCATCATAGGCACTCCGTCAGTGTATCGTCTGAGAGTGACCGGAGTAGATTATTGACTCCAGTTAACAATTTTGAGAATCTACTTTCATTCCATTTCCTGCTATATCAGTTGAAAAGTTTAGTATGGGATTCTCTACTACTACAGTGCCTAAGTTGCAACTATATATATATATATATAATATTCTTTTATATTAACATTTTTTTCTTGTTCCATTCGTTGACTAATGCAATCCAATGTGGACAGTGTGTGTATATGGGTAAATAGGAATTTGGAAATTACTGAAATCATCCAATACGTGTTGGGTGGACAGGGTGAAAGTATTAAAAAGTACTGTAGTTAGGTGGAGAGAGACAGGGAGAGAGAGAAAGGTTAATCACTGATACTTTGTTTATTGATTGAATGAAAACCACACACGTGCATTCGGAATGATGCAGAGTCTATACTGGAGATATAGAAAGTGGCAACAAACAACAAGGGGAAAATGGAGAGAGAATATCTGTAAGATAAATTGTGAAGTTGTGTGACTAAAATTGATATGATTATGAGTGGCAATAATTTACGCTCGACACCTTATCATCCAATTGTTAATACTGCATCATCACTGTGTGATATTTCAAATAAACTTATCTAATATGGAATAACAGGTTTTGCGATAGACTAATGGAACAGTGGACAAAAGATCCTTGCTATCTTCTTTTTCATTCTTATTTCGGTTGTGCTTATTTTTGTCTCTAGGAGTTATGTTACTCCAGCTGTGAGTGATATCTCATAATTTTGTGAGTTGAATTGGTTCAATTTTTCCCCGCAAATATTCCTCCGAGTAGGTTCTCTCAAAGAAATCAGAGTGTCCGCCAATCACATTAACTTCCAATTAGCTCCACTCATTTGTTACACTGAAATGTCAATTTTATGTGATTGGGAGAATGTTCTGGTTGATAGGATAGGATGAGATAGAATTAGTTGAAAACCCGATATCTTTAGGACCTAAAGTCTATCTCATTTGTCTACCTGCTGTAGTAGCTGACTTGACCACTAAAATGTGACATTGCAGGAGTTTTAATGGTACATTCAACGGTTATATGACATAGTTGTGACTTGTTCGCCAATGTATTTGTTGTATATCTTGATATATGTCTCATTGTAATTGCTTATCACATTCTTATTGATTTTGTAATTTCAGAGGGGAGGGAGGTGTTGTAACTAGGTTAAATTCTGTTTTAGTCCATCATTCCTATTCAGACAATTTGGATTCCATTTGATATGAAGTACTGGCTTCTGATATTAGACGTTCTCTGTGATTTCTGAAATGTTTCTGGATTATTTCAATATTATCGAAATCAATTTTGTGATCTGATTCTATGGCGTGTAGACGACCTATGTCTAATAATTTTTCAAGCCTTTTTAGTTCAACTGGATTTCTCGGTGGTCGAACAGAGACGGCTTTACGGTGTTCATTTCTTCTGATTTTGATCTCTCGAGATGTTTGTCCGAGGTATATCTCATTACATTCCAAGCAAGCATTTTTATTTTATAGACACAATTAGAGTATCTTTAGGTATTTGATCTTTTCTTCGAACCCCTACCCAGATTTTTGGTTTAGTTATGGTTAGGGCTATTAAAGCATTTAAACGTTTCTTGAATAATCTCGGTCTGGTCGTCAGTCTCCTCCGTATGTGCCGAAGTGTACTTGAAGCGATTTTGGTTGTTTTGTTGATAATAGGACTACCACTCTACTACTACTACTACTACTACTACTACTACTACTACTACTACTACTACGTAGGACGTTGATGTCAGTTCACATCTGTGTGACCTACTTTACTTGCGGTTGTTATATAAAAGATATTGAAAGTGTAAATTGCATTAAGACTAGACCTTCGTGTTTTTATTCGTATCAATCGTTCATGTTAAGTCGAACTGTGTTGTGAATAATAATCAGGTGATGTTAGGTTAGGTAAGACAAGTATGTTGATGAGCGTTCATCATTTGAAATGACTAGAAGACACGATATGTGCGCATATGGTTGATGTCAATCCATAATAAATGTGATGACTTTATTTTGCTTTAATGAATACTATGTCGGAGTTGACAGTTACTTACTTGGTAATAATAATATATATATACATATATATTAAACGTTTTCATAATTTTTTTTCTCTATAGAAATCGCTGTAGATCTTCAAAACAAGCCCTTAACGAAACCGTAGAAAGCCAAATGAAAAGTCGTCAACGTTTGGTTGATATGGCTCTAGCGAATCGTGACCTCCAAATTGAAATATGGCACTATGCATATTTGAATTCATCTCTGTCTTCAGAAATTGAAGGACTTCAGAGTGAACTTGCGAGTTTACACAATGAAGAACACTGTAGTAATGAAAACGCCAATGCTGTGAATTCGAAGCCGAAGAAATGTCATGCATTGGATTCAGGTTTGTTATAATATATTGTGTATATATTTGGGGGGTTACACGTAGTCATATAATTGTGATTTTAACTCTACACACACACACACACATGCACGCACACTCTAATGACGACTGTATTGTTGTATTGAATGCCGAGAAGGAGGTTGAGGTGGGGGAGGAGGAGTGATAAACTCTGATAATTGGTGTGTGTCGTGTTGATTATTCCTGAAACTGATCGTGGGGATAATGAAAAGGGGAATTAGAAAATTATGAATTCCACTTTGGTGAGGAGTTCACATCACACTTACAACTAGTCGATGAAGCGATTGCCCATGGTTGACTGAATTTCAGTCATTTGCTCGATTTAACCACTGTGATGGAAGTAGGTAGGAATAATGTTATTGTCGTCGTTCATAAAAGCTTGTTTTTCTCTTATTATACACTTGTAAAATAACAAAAGAGTAGTTAGAATTTATAAAATATCATGCATATTGTCGAGTATATGCTGTAGAGTTTTGATCACATAACAGTTACACATTTATGATTTGAATATAGGCGAATGCGAACGCACGAGTGACCTTGAGCCGACCAATCAGGAAATACATTAGGTTTTGCATATAAATATGATGTTTGTTTACATGAGAATACATTATTAAGCAGGATATTTTTTCCTCACATGATTCAAGAATACCTCCAAATTATGATGAAAAGTATCAGTTTTCAGGCTAGATCAGTCTGTATGCATGTATTCACCAAGGTGATTGAAGACGAGTTCTTATTGTGACCCATTTATCCCTCTTATGCTATTTTGTTAGTCTTCTTCCTCAAAAGACCTCGATTGATTGGTTGGAGGGTTTCATGCTGAGCTGACATCAGTTAGAGAACCATTGGAAAAGCTGGGAGTACTGGACAGTTGTTTCTTCCTAATCTGGGACTCTTCATCAGTATGCAGCCACTACCACGGTTCGAACCCATGACTTTCTGGTTATAAGGCCAGCGAGCTCGTAGACCATTAAGTCACTGGGACCCGATCCAATGACCAGCCCATGAATTCTAACATCTACCGATTCATGACATAGCGCGACCACTTCGCAATGTCTTCTTCGATGGGTTATTGCCTCACCTTCAACCTGCTGCGCCCTACTGGTCACGGCTTCTCACTAGAACCACAGGTTAACTGCCTAAATAGGGCCAGTCGCTAGTCAGCATCAGATTAATTCATTTTCAAATATTGGTTTTGTAGGGAGGTATTGTGTTTGATTAGTTGGAGGGTTTCATCGATTGAATCAGTATGGGCTCCACTAAGAGGATCGATAACTATTAACTAGGCAAATGTGGATAATAAAGATAAATAATACTAACCCCAATCTTAATTGTAACCCTAATTCCAACCCTGACCCTAAGCGTGACTGTAGCACTAACGAGCTATGCAGAAATTGTCCAAACAGTACTTAAAATCGAGATCGGGATGAAATTTGCACCTCTATCCGTGCACAGCGTTCAAAGTGACACTGTGTTGTGAATAGTAGGTCTCGTTATCGAACGAGTAGTATGCGTTCAAGGCTACTGGTGCTTCCGCACTCCTGACCCACCGTTATACTTCGGTAATTTGGTCTGATTATATTCTTCATATGCATATTGCTGCATTGTGTGTCACAACACCGTCCTTCCTTGTCCATTCTGTCTTTCTTTTAGATGAAATTGATAAACTTTATTTAAGAAATCAGGATCTTAATAAAGTGGAGACGAATAAAATTGAATCACAAGAAAAAGGAAAAGAAGAAAATACTTCAGCCAAATTATCCCTGGGAAATGGTGGAGACTCTACAACTACCACTACTACTGGTGTTAGTACAAGTGACAGAATGGTGGGACCTTCAAGAATTGTTCCATACAAAGAAGTACCGCAGCAATGTAAACCTTCGTGATAAATAAAATTTTCTTCCATCACCATCACAGACTACGTGGCAATGTTGGTGTTTTTTTAAAAATAATAGATTGATCGCCAGAAATGCCTTTCTTTCCTTAGAAACTACTATTGTTATTATTATTATTACTTGGTGAGTAGAAACCTAATTTTGTTATAAATCACTCCAACATACTCTCGACTATTCTCTGTGCTATTTCTTTTATCTGTTCGTTGTTTTTGCATATTTTGTGGTAAAAAAAAGATACATAGAAATTATAAATATCCCTTCTTGTTGTATCTGATTTGTGTACATTGATATTTTTTATGTGTTATGATGTGCTTGCCAATTTGAAAGTTAGTATATAGTCTCATGGTGTGTAGTTGACATTCGAAGGTGATGAATACTGCTACAGATATGCAGCGCTTATATGTGTGTGTTGTTCAACACTTTTAGGTGAACGGCAACACATATGTGGTAAGGTGATTTAAAACAACAATTGACTGTTATTCTCTTTTCTCTAAGTTGGATGGCAACGTATAAAAGTCTCCGGGAGTGGGGGTTGGGTGTAGAAATCGACATATGTAAAAGTAACATTTGTAAAATCCCAGAGAAATTAACACATAAGTAGTTCCAACGTTCCCTGTGTTGGCCAAACTGGTCTGAACTTCCTCAGGGAAATCAATATAACAAAGCTATGTATATCAAAGATATCTCTTGTCTTTAAAAGCTTTGTCGAATCATACGCGACCTGAAACAATCATCAAAATATAAGTTAAAAACTTTTGGCTGAATGCCTGACTTTTTTCAACGCAGAACTTAGCACAGATGTACAGCGGTTCGAGTTGTGGGTGAAGGAAAAAGAACAGTCATATGGAAGAATGATAGAGTTTTATTGCATATGATATATCACAAAGGGTGAATTCATCTGCGCTGTCACTGAGAACGATTTTGAACCATATTAAAATTTTTCTCCAACCATTGGTTCTTACCATCCTGAGGACCCCCACCAACCAAGCATTCTACACCGCCATATGTGGCTGGCTTAAACTAACTGTTGTGCATTTGATTGACTGATGATGCCATGTTTTTGTTTGACCACCTCTAGCTTTCTCTCTTCCAACCTGATTAACCCTAAGTTAGCTATCATTGTCCTTCGAGGAAGGGGACAACTAGGGGTGCACGCGTAAAACATGCCCTAACCGTCTCAATCGATGTGACTTCACAACCTCGTCGATTGATTTTCCCTCCTTACCTAGCACTCGACCGAAGCTGAACCTAAATATTACTCACCCTATTATACCGCCTAATACGGCAGATACAACGCAGACACCTATGGTTAGAGACTGCTAGACAAGTCTTACAGCCAGCCATTAACGAGGACTGGACAAACTGCTAGGCATTACGTACGTCTTTTGATCGATTACCAGCAGGATATCACGTCCACGCCACACGAATCTTTTGTGTCCGTGCTGAGATTTCATCAGCGATCAACCCATTGGAGCTGATGCAACTCCCCAAATAAGTGAAGTGGTCAACGCGCTCTACCACTTCACTCCCTAATTCTAAGCTAGGAGTCAGTGTAGTCCAGTCCTGTAACATCATCTTACATTTGGCGGAGCAAGTCGCATGCTAAACACTCTTAGATTGCTGTTCAAGGTGTTCAGAAGACTATGCTCGGCTTTGTCAGCGTCTTCACCTAGTTGGGAGGACTGTATCATCTGCGTATTGTAAGTCAATGAGATTATTTCCTGTTAACAAGTTAGTCCGTGAATGTCGCTGAAGTGAGTTAAGGTTAAGTTCTTTAGTACATCTTTGATGAAATGGGGATAGTGGGTCATCCGTGACAGACACCACTGGTTGTCACTACTTTAGATGACAACTCTCACTTGGCTGACTTCATGAGTTAGAGTTTAGTGCAATGTATTTTATCGGCATTCCCTTCACAGACAAATATTTTCATACTGCCTCTCGGCCGACGGAATCGAATACCACCTTTGGGTCAAGAAACATGACAATTGCTGGACGCCGGTGGATATGACTATGTCCCAGAATCTGTCGAAGGGTGAAGATATAATCAATTCAACCTCTTCGTGGTCTGAAGTCTGTCTAGTTTTCTTGTTGTTTTTTTCTCCGAACACCACTTAATGTACGCATGATTACTGATCCTAGAACTTAAGATACCATATTGGTGAAGCTGGTCCCCGCTGTGATTGATCTTTCTTCTTGTATATCGGGATAATCAATGACTTACACCAGCCCAACAGGACTTCCTCTGATTCCCAGACTCTGTCTAGTACCTTAGTTAACTCAGACAGTAAACTGTCTCCACCGTCCTTGAACACCTCTGGAGTCATTCCATCGGGTCCCGCATCTTTGCCTCGTACTGCGTACTTTCAGAAACTTAAAGAAATATTAATGCAATGCAATTTTCATAGTAATATTGTAAATACAGTCATCCTGCTATGGATGGCTTCTACTAGTTACACAAAATAGGTAAACTTCTGATCTGATTATTCTGTTGTGATATGGATATATATTAACACAAGAGATTACAAATCATCAAATTAATTAATTAGTAGATGTTAGCAACAGATGGCCAATCGACAAGATATCCAAATTTTGACGGAGAGCGTACAATCACCTCGCATCTTCGTTAGGCAAAAGCTTCGAATAAAGCTGTACACAACTCAATTCTAGCTCATCTCATCTATACCGGACATTGGGCTGACTTTGACAAAGCTTTCAAAGTTATTTATCGCATTTCACCCATTGTTTCGCTTGCTCTACAAGCATGACTTTTACATTCAGCAGGAGCCATTTGAAGTCATCTGATGAACAAGCCAGTTCTGTGTGTTCAAAAGAAATTTGTGCAGCTCCTTTCCTTTTCTCATAACATGCATTAAGTTTTATAAGTGATTATCCCCACCCCTTTGTCACTATCATTTGTCTATATTTTATTTTGATTACTATTCTAGCTAATTCATTTAACTTGTTTACAAATCGGTATCCTTATGTAATTCTCCTTGGTCATAATTATTTTATAAATTCGTTGATTACGTAACAGCTCGTCTTGAATTCCGCAACTACTTTCACCCCTCCTTAGAGCTTATAAACTAGGTCTCCGTGTACAAATGGAAATGGTGGTCACTATGAATCTACCATAGTAATGTGTTCTACTTATTAACTGTTATTATTAGTAATAATATTTTATTCTACCTCTTATTATTACTATTCCTGATTCATTTAAAACTATCTTCTATCAGTAGCATTATCTTAACTCGTTTCAACATTATTATTACTAACATTACTCGGTGCGTCGTCGGTTCACTGGTAGAACACTGGCCAACCACGCAAGTGGCCCAGGATCCGACCTCTGGCTGGCGCACTCCTTTACCTCGCTTTACCGGTAGTATTGTAACAACAGAATACAAGGGCCAGGCAACAGGTCGTTTATTGAGAAAATCAAGAGATATTTATTGTTAGCAGAGAAGCAACGTCTTCTGATTCGCTGTTTTCCTGCTGAAGGTTATTCTGTTATTTCTTAGACAGTCCGTTGATATATCTGCTACTCGTATCCGCCCACGCTAAGTCTGCTGTAATGGGTTGTTGAGTTAGTCTTTGTTCTTGTTTTTTTCTCATGACCAAGATATGGGACGTAAAAATTGACGTAAATTGCTGTCTACCAATTTCGGCTAGCAGACAGCTCTCACCACAGTATGACAGGCAAAGAGGGAAGGTCGGGCGTAAGGCTAGCAACCTTACCCGGTAAAGAGACATCACTGGTACTGAAACTTCAAAGCCCTATCTCCCACTGGGAACCGCCAAGAGCGGTATCTTATCCTTAACGTTAGACTGGATACTCGGTATCTGAAACTGGACCTCTGCATTCAGAAGCACCACATGCATCCACTCACCCTACTGTGACCAGAATAACGTTCTTACTATGATTTTGCTTCTTTTTATCGTGTAAGTTTACTATTATCATTATAATTCCCATCGTTATCCATATTTTATTACCACTCTACTACTGTTTATGAATAAAATTGCTTTTTCATACAGATTTTACATTCTTCTAAACACTTTATCGTCTTTCCACTAGTTCCTGTCCATTCTACACAATCTTATTGATGAGTCATTATCGCACACTTATAACGTCAAGCCAACTTTTGCCCCTTTTCTAATTTCCAATCAGTCACCCCTTCTAGATCACACCTTACATTACGTAATACGTTTTCGAAGACAAATTTTACCAGTATCTGATTGGTCTTATAATTTCTTTGCTAAATATAATTACGACTGCTGTACAGCTTGTGAAAATGAATCGTTGAAAAGACAGTTTTCTTCGCTGAATACGTCTTAGTTGTATATCTCCCAAAGTATTTCTAATAGGGTATGGAGAGTATTCAGATGAAGAGTTCTACCGAAATAATGATGAAATCACTAAATCCTGCTCTACTAACCTTTGTTGCATGTTTTAAATCTCCGCACTCTCAATCGGAGAGAAGCCCCACTGGTCACGACTTCTCACCACAACTTCGTCTTGTAGCCAGTCACCAGCGAGCATTAGATGAATTTTCAAGAGTTAGTTTGTAGGGATTTGATTTATTTCAAGGTTGATCACGGATACTGATATCAGTTAGAGAACCATTGAAAACCAGCAGGAAGTACTGGACAGCTGCCTAGTCCTAGTTCGGGCAACTGAGTCAGCTTGTAGTGGCTGAGTGGTTTACGACCTCCCCTTGTACCGGGAAGGTGCGGGTTCCGAAGCCTGGGAGTTGCTGCGTTTACCTAGGTTCTAATTAGTGATCACCACTGGTCATCCCACCAATATTTCGCAGTATCAGACTACCTCTCGGTCAACAAAATCAAATGATAGCATAGAGTAAGGGAAATTAAACAGGTGTCCGAAGGATGAATAGTTACACTTTAGAAGCTGTCGAAAAGGTGTTTGGACTAATCAACCACTGAGCTGGCAAGAAACTTTTCTTCTACCCCAGTTGTACACTGCCTTCTCATATACTCCAAAATCTTGAAAACTGATAACCAAAGTCCCCATTTTTAGTTATCACAGGACTACTCAGTGAAAGAGAAACAATGGAGGATAATAGTTTCACAAACCTACGCGTACTAGCACATACTGAGTAGTCCGAGGCATGCTTCTTTGGGAGTTCCCAACTTATTCAACCTGAAAATCTATGAGATGTCTTATTTGATTGACGATCCTTTTATTATTCTCGTAGAATATTACTATTATAGCACAGTAGTCCAGTCAAATGCTTCATTCAATGAGTTTTACGCCCACTCTTAATACCCTAAAAGAATCTTAATCTATCCTCACTTATTAGCTGCATCAAATTTAACCGGTATCTTAACATGCAGATGTCGGCGGTCGGTCGCTTTTCGACATAGAACTTTGCACATATGTGCAGCAGTTCAAGTTGCCACACTCCCTTCATGTAGCACACAAAGCAAGAGAATAAAGTAGGAGAAATGCATATCAGAGACAGTAAACAGAGGTGTGAGACAAAGGAATAGTAATAACGAAGAACAAAACAGTTTCATTGGAAATCATGAGTCACAAGGAGTGGATGCATCTGCGCCACTGAGAACGATTTTGAGCCATGTCACCAATTGTTTCCAACCATTGGTTTTTACCATCCCGAGGACCCCAACCAGGAAGTCTACATCTTCCTACGTGGCTTAGACTAACTGTTGTAGATTTCATTGACTAGTGCCATGTTTTGGTTTGACCGCCGCCAGCTCTTTTCCAGCCTGACCAATCCTATGTCAGCTGACATTGCCCATCGAGGAAGGCGATGACTAGGTATACGTAGCACATGTCCTAACCATCTCAGTCGATGTAACTTCACAACCTCGTCGATTGATTTCCCCTCCTTACCTAGCACTCGACCAACGCCTAACCTCAATATTGCTCACCTTATTATACCACTTCACACAGGAGATAGAACGCAAACACCTATGATCAAAGACAGCTAACCTTTTCATGTCTTCCACTTTCAACAGCCAGGTATCACAGCCATAGAGGAGGAAGGAGCGGACTGTTGAGCAGTACACACGCCCTTTGGTCGATAGCCGGATATCACATCTACGCCAGAGACGCCGTAAACTGGCATATGCGAAACGAGACTCCTGTTTTCATGCTGAGATTTCGTCAGTGATCAACCAGTTGGGGCTGATGTAACTCCCGAAATCAGTGAAATGGTCAACGCGCTCTACCAGTTCACTGCCTATTTCGAAGTTAGGCGTCAATACAGTCCAGTCCTGTAGCATCGTCTTACATTTGGCGGGAGCGAATAGCATGCCAAACATTCGTAGATTGCTACTCAAGGTGTTCAGAAGACTGCATTTTGTCAGCGTCTTCACCTAGTTGAGGGGACTGTGTCATCTGTATATTCTAAGTCAACGAGATTATTCCTTGATGGTAACAAGTCAATCCCTGAGTCGCTGTAGTCAGTTAGGGTTAATTCCATTAGTACATTATTGATGAAATTATATAGAAATGGGGATAATGGGCGTCCTTGACGGACGCCACTAGTCGTCACCACTTCAGATGACAACTCCCCGTGAGCCCTCACCTGGCTGCATGAGTACGAGTAGAGTACCTTAATCAGCGCAAGGCACTCTACTCGTCGGCAGTATTAAACACTGCATCACACTGCCATTTCCCGCTATTATAGACACACACTGAACCAGTGTCGCATAGTTTCCGCAGAATCCTGGAAAACACGTCTTCAATTGTTCAACTATATCTCTCACGCCTTATCCAACTCCAAGTGCAATCACTTGGTCCACAATTTCGCGATGTATTGAGAAATATCAACGAATTACAGACCAAAGTTCAGTTCGAGAATCGAACTTTGCAGATATTTGATTTGTCACACCTAATTCTGAAAAACAAACATCTCGAGCAATTTAAAGCTGCAATTTTCGACAGCCACTACAAGTACATGCGTGCACGACTCAGTCATTATTATCTGATAACGAAGAGAGGCAGAAAACAACTTCAAGAAAATAAAGACATAATCCTTGTCTGGCCTGATTTAGGGGAATTGCATTGAACAAATCAGATAATGTCGAGAAACAAACAAACGTACTATCAGACGAATACCAAATTCTTCAAATCACCCAACCGAGACGAACAGAAAACCTCCTTGCAAAATTACTGAATAAAATGAAAGAAGATTCAATTATGACATAGGTGTATGAACAAACAAAACCATGCAATTCAGTTTATACCGAGACAATATGGATTGCCTGAAGTGCATAAGAAGGATGTCTCACTTCGACATATTATAGACATGGAGTCAACTCACCATATCATCAGATTGCGAAGTGGTTAGCACATATCCTTGAACGGGTAAGGAGACATATGACAAGGTCACAGCCTTAATGATGTATTTGACTCTAATCCTCCAATTAACAGACATTTTGGTGTTCTATTCAAAAATGACTGCATAGTTCTACCTTCCATAGAGCTAAAGAGCCAACATAATGCTGAAACACTCCAAGATTCCATCTTCAAACGCAGAACGGACATACTTAGAAATTGATAAATGCATAAATTCCATTCAGGTACACGCGCACACACATTGTAGGACAAAAAACGATCGGAGTTCAATGAGATCCTGCAAAAATGAAAGAAGTAACATTCATCAAGCAAGCCACGGGAATCCTAAGATGTCGTCAGCTACTGAAAGACAATTGCTACTTCTTCCAAACGGGTACCACTGGATGCAAGTCGCTCTATGCGACTATCGAAAACAGACTCATCGCACATCTGCAGCCAGAAGAGACCAGATTTTACATGTGTACCTAACCAAGCGTTGTAAACGCGAATTTTAACGACCATACTAATTTAGTGACAGTATTATAAAGTATTCACATTGGCCGACGTTCCCTCGACTTCAGCAAAGCGATTGGAAATGTCATGTGTTTCTCACAGATAACGAACTTTACAATTGTTTCTGACAGTTCACCTGAGAAGATCAGGGTAGACACGATTGTTTCTTTAAATTTTACTCCTTTGCGTTCCCAATGGAACATACGGCTTGAAGCTAGAGCTTTAAAGTTACGATAGCAATTGTTGCATTCTTACGGGGTGGGGTTGCTAACCTCACGCCCTACCCTCCCTCTTTACCCGGCTTACTACCAGCTTAGTTCGGTTTAAGAGTGCGTCGGCCGAGAATCGAACCACGGACGCCCAGCGTAGTTGACGACCATTCTCCCACTGAACCATCGACTGTGGGAACACTGATTTTTGTTAATATTGTAACAGTTCAAGAAGATATACCAAACTTACAAATCTTGACCACCACCACCACCACCAAGTGATCAATTACTATTTAGGTATGAAACATTTGGACGTTGAATTAAGGGGAAATTCTTTGAGTACACCATATCTTAAATTGAATTTACAAGTTTATTCACTGAATAAAAACTTTGATTTAACCTCTAAATGTTAACAAAATTTAAAATGTTCCCTGAATACATATATTATATATTATATTACAAACAACACGTATATTTACAGCATGTGTGCACATTCAAAATCAAGAGAAATTGCCCAGAGAAGAGTTTCAATTTGAAATTTACACTCAATGATTGTTAAATGCACGAATACACAAATGCCATTCAAATTGTAAATGGATTGGATCACATTGATTTCACTGTCTACGGCGTCGTTTATTACCTGCACTGGTAGAAGTAGATTCAGTATTTATTATGGAACGTTGATCACTTTGTAGAAAGTTAAGTAATAGACGGCGACCATTCTCATCTGAATTCTGATATAATCGAAACAACAGGCTAGGTGGTGGAGCAGGCAAAAGGTGATCTTCATCAACACTTTCATTATTTCTAGTGTCATATAGAGTGGGACTAACACTCTGTGACAATACACTATTCTCATGACTTTCATTACTGTCATCATTTGTGCTGATATTTATGACTGCAGGAGGGGTAGGTTCCTGTCGAGCTGTCGATAGGTTTTCATTATAAGAATAACAATTCAAGTCTGAAGATTGATTTCTGTTTGTAGTTGTATTTTGTAAACCAACCATAAGACGATTACGTAATTCTGCAGGAAGTAGTTCAGGATTCATTGGACACGTTTTTTTATGACTGGGTAAAATGCACAAGCGACCGATAAAATCGCATCCTAGAGAACGCCAAGGACATGATACCTGAAAATAAAAATAAACTAAATAGATGAATAGAAAGAATAAGAATACGGCTACTTCAAAATATAAAAGCCTCAAGCTTACAACCCCCCGCCCGCGTTCACAAATCAGGACGCCAAGGAATTTTCTAACAAACAATTGACGACACGTAATACACTAGGTGTAGATGGGATTCAGTTACAGCATAATGAACAGTGAAATGAAACATTAACTGACTGACTGCATTCAACACAGAACTTGGCACCGATCTACAGCAGTTCGAGTACCCACACTCCCTCCTCCATGCAGCACACGAAGCAAGAGAAGAGAGGCTCAAAAGAGAGATAGTAAACACTGGTGTGGGTGAGGGAAAAAGAACAGTAATAACGAAGGACGATGGATATGATATATCACAAAGAGTGAATTTATCCGCGCTGTCACTGAGAACGATTTTGAACCACATTAAAAATCTTCTCCAACCATTGGTTCTTACCATCCCAAGGACCCCCCACCGACCAAGCATTCTACACCGCCATACGTGTCTGGCTTAAACTAACTGTTGCGGATTTGATTTACCGATGAAGCCATGTTTTAGTTTGGTCACCATTAGCTCTTTTCCTGCCTGATTCAACCTAGGTCAGCTAACATTACCCGTCGAAGAATGCGATGGCTAGGCGCATGCGTAATACAAGTTCTAACTACCTCAACCGATATACCTTCATAACCTCATCGAATAACTTTTCCTCGTTGCCAAAAAACACACGAAGCCTAACCTCAATATTCCTCACTTCAGTATACCACCCAACACACACGGGAGATAGAATGCAGTTAATTCCATCATATAATCGGTTTAGTCTGGATTCTAAAAAAAAAAAATCAAATTTAGCACATTTCCCAATGAAACGATGACATCACAATGTTGGCATCAGTGGCCATCTTTATCAGTAGGTAACGCGACTACAAACACTTGTGCACGTAGGTAGTGAATTTTCTTCTACTTTTTCCTCATAAATTCCTACAGTTGTACATTGTATCAGCAAATGATTACTTGAAAAAGAGAGTATAAACCAATGCCAACGATACTCTCATTGTCTGTACTCACTAAACGTACAAAAACTTACCTTATATTCGCCTATTATATTTTCAACTATAAAATCATGATGCATCGATCCTTTTGGGATAGGCAAACGATCAACCGGACAGGTAGGCGAGTCACGAATCCACGGGTCGATACACTAAAAGCAAAGACGGTAAAAACAATACAGTACAAAAAAATCTATATATATTAGGAAATTTACTACATTCCTGTGTGTTTAATGAACATTTCCATTTTATGGATAAAAAATCAATATGAAGAATTTCTTTTGTTTTCATTCATGTACTGGCATTTATTATTATTATTATTATTATTACGGTGTGCGGACAAGTGAATGTGCTTCACACGAGTAATGATTAGCCCAATTCTCTTCGATTTCTCTTGAATTTTTAGATCCCACTGAATTACAGATTAATAGAACAAATAACTCACTGACTGGTTTCAACAGAGAACTTGGCACAGATGTACAGCAGTTCGAGTTGCCACACTTCCTCCATGTAGTACACAAGGCAAGAGAAGACAGTTAAGAGAAATTCAAACGAGAGATAACAAACAGAAGTGTGAATGAGGGAAAAAGAATAATAAGCACACCAAGTCCTCCTGATCATCATTCTCCTTTATCCCTGTCACCCCATCCCCATCCTTTTGCTTCCCTACTACTGTCAGTACTATTCTGCCGAAAGGTATATATAATGTATCAAATTATCCTAGTCACCCTGCAATGTTATTCACGTATATTTATTGATACTATACCCTCGAAACGCACTAGATCTCAAGGCTCTAAAAAGTGCAGTCTCTGTAAGCACGTTGTTACCTACTACGAGCACTCTTAGTTGATGAGTCCCATACAGGAGAAAATGTGCATCCTCGATTATACTGCTAGTTACCAATAAGCAAATACAGCCGTTGTATAAACAAATATACATTATTAGGTAAAGTGATATTTAGACACTTAACACTTACACTTTTGCAAAATGAGTGGCCGCATGGTGCACGTTGAGGATTAGAAAATGCCTCCTGGCATATAGGACAGAAGAGATGCGGGCTGATAGATGATGGGTTAACGAAAAACCTAAAAGGTATTTATTTTATTTCATTGAAAGTGGCTACCTTTCTTCGGGAGCAGGCTCAGATTTCCTTGGAGCAGCTCTTTTAGTAGAACGTCTACGTTCCATTGGTTTAGATACCAATATGTTTGTTTGTGGACTTTTTGTGCTAAAATACAAAATGGAAAAGAAATCACAATTATTTTAAAATCATAGACTGCCTATACTTGATTCATAGATGCTTTAAAAAACGCTGTTTATTTATACGGAAGAAACTCCGTGACAAATGTTCTAACAACAAGAAGTGCCCTAATACTTCTTCTCGTTTATAATTGTGTCCTAACGTTGTGCTTACTCGACACACAACGTAAATCAGAAGACACTTGTGGTGTAGGAATGTGTATTCCCGCCGTAATCAAAATTCAAAAGTTGAGCGAGTACAAAAATGTTTCAATTGTTAACACGCAAGATTTAGAGTAATAATAATAAACAAATCAAAGTACAATTACACAATGAAAGTATAGTATGATGATGAGTAATAAAATGGGTCACTACAATAGGCCCTCCGTAGAATGCAGGTAAATGAAGTTTACCTGTATTCGGAATGATATTGTTAGCCGGAATATCATCAGGTTTTTAATCTTGAGATGATGTTGATTTGGGTAAACATTCAGTCACCTCTGTTTCCATGAAAGCTGGTTTTACGCGATCGATGCTTACATTCTCGTGTTTTCCTCCGCGTTCGACAGTGATGATTTTGCTTGTTCTTTGAATGTACTTTGAATGGTCCGTCATAAAGTGGTTGAAGTGGTTTCCTTACACTGTCGTGTCGTATGAAAACATGCGTGCAATTTTCTAGTTTTTCAGGCATGTATGCTTGGTTGGGCTGATGTCGCGGCGGGTGATATCTTAAAAGGCTCATATGTTGTCTCAGTTGTTGCACAAAAGTAGTTTCGTCAGCTGGAATTTCAGTGGCAGTAGTCGTAAAGTAGTTCCATAAACTAATTCTGCTGGACAACGTTTGATATCTTGTTTTATTGTCGAACGTATCCCAAGAAGTACAAGTGGTAATTTATCGCTCCACTTATCATCGTCCTTCACTGCCATTAATGATGCTTTCAGTTGACGATGAAATCTCTCCACTAAGCTGTTTGAACTGGGATGATATGCAGTAGTACGTATACGTTTGATTCCCAGTAGTTCTGTGAGTTGTTGGAATAAATGGCTTTCGAATTGGGCACCTCTGTCTGTGGTAATAATGCTGGGCACTCCGAAGTTGGAAATCCAATTTTGTATGATGCTCTTTGCAACAGTTTCAGCAGAAATATCAGGTAAGGGACAAGCTACTGGCCATCTCGTAAATCTGTCAATACACGTTAAAATGTACGTAAAGCCATTAGATGGTGGTAACGGTCCAACGATGTCAATATGTATGTGTTGGAACCTACCATCAGGTTCTGGAAACTGTATGTCGTTTTACTTTTGACTTTTGGCAGGCTAAACATGATCTGGTCCACTGTTTAATCTCTCGATTTATATTCGGCCATACATATCGGTCACTTATCAGTTTAACTGTTGCTCGGATGCCAGGGTGAGAAATGCCATGTATTTTGGAAAAACTGATCTTCGCATTTCTAGTGGGACAAAAGGGCGCGGTTTACCTTTGGAAACATCACACGTAATAGTTAGGCCTTCATCAAGCATAACATCTTGCAAACGTAAGGAAGTACTCGTGCTATTTTTTATTCTTTTCAGATCCTCGTCCATAGTTTGCAGTCTAGCCATATTTTTAAGATCAAACTGGTTTTTTTCTAAGGTATTTATATGGATGCGGGATAACGCATCTGCTACCTCGTTTTTATGTCCTTAGATGAATCTAATATCTGAAGTGAACTGAGAAATGAACTCGAGGTGTCGGAGTCCTCTTGGCGAGTACTTGTCGTGCTTTGCATTCATGGCCTTGGTTAAAGGTTTGTGGTCTGTGTAGATGGTAAACGGTATTCCTTCTACCATATGACGAAAATGTTTAACAGCGAGATAGACTGCTAGTAATTCTCTACTGAATGCACTATATCTTGATTGAGTGGCGTCTAGACGTTTGGAGAAAAAGGCGAGAGGTTGCCATTTTCCATCAGAAAATTGACGAAGAACTGCGCCGACGGTGACGTCTGATGCATCTGTCATAATACCTATAGGAGCGTTGACATCGCGACGTACTAGTAAAGTTTCTGAGCTTAGAGTTTATTTCAGCTTTTCAAATGCCTCGATTGCTGAAGTACTCATGTGCAGCGATTTTGCATGACCTTTTAGTAGATCTTTCAGAGGTTGGGCCAGCTGTGCACAGTGAGGAATGAAACGGCGATAAAAATTGGCGAGACCAAGAAATCTGTGTAACTTTTTGAAGGAATCTGGGATCGGGTATTCTTTTATGACTTGCAGCTGTTCTGCTATTGGTCGAATACCTTGATTGTCTACCTGATTTCCCAAAAATTTTATAGTTTTCTTACCGAATTCACATTTACTTGGTTTAATGACAACTCCATATTCGGCTAAACGTTTAAAGAGTGTTTCTAAGTGATGTTGGTGCTCCTCAGGGGATTTACTTGTAACCAGAATATCATCTATATGAGCGTAAGTGAATGGGAGGCCGTGCAATACCTGGTCAATGAATCTCTGAAATGTTTGCGCTGCGTTATTCAAGCCAAATGGTAGGCGGACGAACTCGAATAAGCCAAAAGGAGTGGTTACCGCCGTTTTGGGGGATGTCCTTGGGCTCGACCGGTATATGGCAGTATGCACGAACGAGGTCAATTTTGGAAAATATCTGAGCACCTGCCATGTTATGGAAAAAATCGAGGATGTGCGGAATTGGGTATCTATCTGCTATCGTCTGCTTATTTAAAGCTCGGTAATCTCCACAAGGTCGTATCTCTGTTGAGTTTTTCTTTGGTACCATATGCAGTGGTGATGACCATGGGCTGTTTGACGGTCGTATTATTCCTAGATCCAATAATCTGTTGAACTCTGCTTTTGCTATGTGCATTTTAGCTGGATCTAAATGATGTGGTTTTGCTGAGACCGGTGGACCTTTAGTTACGATATGGTGTGTTACGTTGTGTTTGAGAGAGGCTGTGGAGTAATCGCTCTGTGTCAGTTCAGGAAATTTCTTCAGCAAAATATCGTACCTGGATAATTGATCTGTTGTGGCTACCATCAAGCGGATACTCTCGACATCTGTGGAGATGCCTGAAATCGATATTTTACGACTGCTATCTATCAATCTGTGGTGACTAGAGTCGATGAGCAATTCGTAGTGTTGAAGAAAATCCATTCCAATGAAAGGAAAAGTTACGTCGGCGACTACGAACTCCCACTCAAATGGTGTACTGCAACCAAAATTAAGCTTTTGTCTCCGAGTTCCAAACGTTTTTATGGTAGAATTGTTCTCAGCCTTGAGAACTAATGCTGGGTTTGGTTGTAAGCGTTCGTTGGGTGTTGGGGGAACTACACTAATTTCTGCACCGGTATCTACCAGGAATTGTGCCCCTGTTGTTTTGTCTGTCACCCTGAATAGACGGCTGTGGGACGTGTGTTGGCCAGCGACCGCAGTCGTCACCGACCGCCGGCCTTTTCGTTTCCCAACGCCACCGTTTGTTGGAAAGCACACGGTTGTGTGCACCGTTTTGCGTGCACACCAAATTTGCGATGATACCAACATATAGTCTGTTGTAAGCTATATTTACGCATATTGCGTGAGTGGCTACGCTGTTTTCTGTACGTTGTGGTAGGTTGTCTATTAACCCTCATTGTCATTAATTGCTCGGTGAGCACGTCGATTTTAAGTTCTAAGGCTTCTATGCGTTCGTTTGACGTTTTGTCGACTTTGTGTTCTGGAGTCTGTATTCTATCGTGAGTGTCTGGTATTCTGCTAGTGGAAGCGACAGATTGGGGTGTTGACCTCTCGTACATGCGATCCGCGATTTCGGTGAGCCTTTCTATGTCAATGTCGTCGTCTCCGAAAGCAAGCAAGTGTTATAATATAGGTTTTGTTTTCATTACATTACATGGTAGACGTTAAATATCACGTTCTAGAACAGCTGTTAAAATTTCACTAGGAATAATTTTTTTGTCAATAATTTTTAATAAAATTATGTTATATGTTATCTGGATTGATGGAGATTCCCATTTTCTGGCCTGTTATTTTGGTGTCCGCGTCATGTAATCTGACTGCGACACCCCCTGGCATATTGGCTGCATCGACTAGTGTTTCGGGCGAACTGTAGCAAAATATCGCTATAATGAGAAAGATAGGATAGTTGAAGGGTAATATCATCTACACAAATAGTTTACTTTATTTAGATGCTCCATTTTTCAGCATGGTATCATTCAATGTAGACTTCACGTCTCAGGATATTAATTCAGCCTATTTTCGTGTGAAGAACAGTCCTTTTTGACAAAAGAATTCTATCGGTACTTGGAAGTCACCTGTAAATCCTAACAGAACCTTCTGTTGGAATAGAAGTAATCATGTAGACATGTCTTACCGTATGTGTGTTTGGACAGCAATTATCGTAAGTTGAGAGGTTATTTCTAAGTGTATTTCATGTATATTTGCACTGTTTGGCGTAGTGTAATATGAGTTATGTGGACTCAATGTGTACAAAATATCTCAACTTTATTAATATTGTTCCATTGTCTCCTTAGCTGACTGCTTGGCTAGCAAACGTAGGTTGTTGTCATAATTATTGCAAGTGCTGTGCCGTGGAGAAGGCAATCACTCGTTCAAATTTCCTTACTGTGCCACTTAGTGCATTAATTCAGTGTATAGTATTATTATACACATGGATTGTGTCGATTATGAGAACTGAATCTAGTCAGCTCTATTACTATCAATCTACTGTCTGTTATGTCATTCTCACTAGCGCTGTAAACTTAATGCTGCAATGTCTTTGATCACCAATAGTGGTGATGAATATTTCCTGAATTTTCCATTAACATGAAGCAGCACAGATGCAGTCTCACGGCCGAATGTCTAGGTTGCATTATATGTCATTGTTATCCTCATCAGCAGAACAGGTCTGAGTATCTTACAATATTTCAAGTGTTTCTCTATGCTGCTAACACTGTGC